GGCGGTGCTCCCCACCCCGACGTCTGCCTGCCGGGGCCGGCGGGCGGCCTCGTCCGCCCGCATGTAGCGGATGGGGTCGGGACCCTTCTCCGGCTGACCCAGGCCAGCGAAAGCCGACATGTCGATGCCAGTGCCGGGGGGGCCGGGAGGACCGGGGGGACCTGGGTTTCCGGGAGGACCCTATGGGAGGAAGAAGATGCAATCCTGATGGGCTGCTCTGCCAGCTGGATCCCCCCTTCCCTGCCGCTGCCGGTGTTTTGACTCACCGCAGGACCTGGTTCGCCGCTTCGTCCGCGGGGGCCGGGAGGACCGATGGGGCCGGGCATGCCGTTGGAGCCGTCTTTGCCAGAGGGGCCGACAGGGCCGGGGGGACCCTAGGAGAGAGCCCCGAAGCGGGGAGGTCAGGTTGTTGCAAGGAGGCCGGGGAGGTGCTGGGGAGCCGATAGCTCCTGCCGTTAGCAAGCGAGGGGAGCTCGAGGACGGAGGCGCCTCCTTTTCCTCTCATCTCCCCAGACGCCACGGGCAGGACTCACCCTGGGACCGGAGGGACCAGCGGGACCAGCAGCACCTTGGTCTCCAGAAGGACCCTGAGGAGGAAGCAAGGGAGGACGGTTACAGCTCCACGTCCAGCATCGAGGGATGCTCAGCCTTAGCGGAGCCCTTGCACGGGCTCAGGGCTCCCTCCATGGCTGCAGAGACCCCGAAGGAGCCGCATCCAGCTCCGTGGAGAGATATGGGGGGGCTGAGTACTGGGATCCCCAAAACAACACTTACGGGTGGGCCGGGAAGACCCTGCAGACCAGTGAAGCCACGGTGGCCCTTCAGACCTCTCTCTCCAGCCTCTCCTGTCTCACCCTTGTCACCGCGAGGCCCTTGGGGACCCTGGAAGGGGAGAAGGGAACATGTCAGGCTCAGGGTGGCAGACCCCCACCCAACGTCCCCCAGGACCCCCTGCATCACACACGGGATGCCCCGACGGGCCCAGCATCACTCACCGGCATGCCTCGAGCGCCAGCAGGACCGGAGGGACCCATGGGGCCTTGTGCGCCCTGGGGAGAGAAAAGATGGGAGTGGAAAGGAGGCAGGAGCAGGGGATGCTGGGGGGTGCCCTGGCCGGGGGTGCCCGAACCGGCCCCGCTGCCTGCGAGCTGCCCTGCTCACAGCACCAGGAATCCGGCAGCTGCCCGTGCTGAACAGCATCTTTAAATACTCTCAGCAGGAGCATCTGCACCGAGTAACGATCCTTGCAAATAAATACCGTGGCAGATTTTCCCCGGTTAAGCCTCCCGGCGCTTACAGCTCCCCGGGCAGTGCTTGTGCCTAGGCAGAGCCCGAACTGGGCTCTTGGTGCTCGTGAATCCTCAGGAAGATGCTCGGAGCCGCTAACGGCACCCAGGGCGCCGCTGAATTAGCGACAGCTGCTAACGGCACCCGCCTGGCTCTCCCAATTACTCCGAGCAGCTAATTGTTCCTGGGGGGCCACTGCTATTTCTTCATTTATCTGCGCGCGGGGTGGTTCCCGTCTCCCCTAACAAGACCTCAAACCCAATGAGCCGTTTCCCCCGCCAGCGTGCTGGCACTCACCGTCTCGCCTCTGTCTCCTTGTTTGCCGGTGGGACCGACGGGGCCGGGAGCGCCGGGGGCACCGGGAGCGCCGGGGGCACCTACGGGACCGGTCTCGCCACGATCGCCCTGTGCCGAGGTAATGGGATGGTCAGACCCGCGGGATTTTTGGCCGGACGAGAGGGCACGTGGAAAGCGAGCGCCGGAAGAAGCGCGCGGGCAAGCTCACCTTCACGCCGGCTGCGCCGTCTCTGCCGGGGGGTCCATCAGCGCCGGGGTTACCCTGGGAGAAGATGAGGAGAAATTAAGTCTTGACATGTGCAAACTCCCCTTTCGAAGCAAAAACCGCTGGCAAAAAGGTGCCGGTGATTGCCAGGAGCTGAGTTATGGCGCAGGGCTCTCCGGCTGTGGGATCAGCGATGCCCGTTGGGGTTACACCGGGATGATCCCGAGCCCGGCACGGACAGAGGCTCCCTCCCGCTTCACCCACCGGGGTGCTGCCTACCTCGCGCCCGGGTTCGCCGGCGGGACCTGTCAGACCGGGGGGACCCACGGGGCCGGGGGGGCCGCGGTCGCCCGCAGAGCCGGGTGCTCCTTGTTTCCCAGGTTCGCCCTAAACGAAGGGAAAATAAAAACCAACAGGCGTGAGCGGGAGATCCCTGCGCAGCCCTTCACCCAGCAATCGCCTCCGCCTGAATCAGCGTCGGTTATTGCCCAGCCCCGATGCCGCTGGCACCGGCGGCTCCCGGTAGCTTTGCAAAACCCCAAACCACACCCGGGATTGGGGTCCCTGGGATGCTCGAGCTGCACCCGAGGGTGCTGGTGGCCCCGTCACCGGCTCCTTGCAGCCCCCCCGGGCTTCCCTCTTAGCTGAGCTGCCGCGCAGGCGTCAAAACACCCAAGCGGGCTGCTGGGACCAGTTTGATCCACGGGGTACACGGTGGAAGGCGCTGAGCCTGGGCGGTGACAACTCACCGATGGCCCTGGCAGCCCAGGAAAGCCTCTCTCGCCACGCTGTCCGGGAAGACCAACGATGCCGCGCTGTCCTGCCAAACCTTGGGGACCGGGGGGACCATCGGGACCCTGTGGGGAGGCAGAGGGGGGTGATCAGAGCCGGCAGGGTGGTGGCACGGCACTGAACGCGCATGGAGGGATGCGTCCCCCAAAAAAACGTACCGCAGGGCCGTCCTCGCCGGGTTCACCTTTCTCGCCAGGGGGGCCGGCGGGGCCTTGGAGACCGGGGTCACCGGCACGGCCCGGGGGACCGGCATCACCACGAGCACCCTTGGGACCATCTTTGCCAGCAGAGCCGGGGGGACCGGGGGGGCCGGGGTTACCCTGTGGGGGGAGAAGACGGGGTTAGTGCAAACGGAGGCAGCTTTTCCACCTTCACCGCCCGCATCCTGGTGCTGCTCAGGGCTTTGGCTCGGCTCCTGTGCTTGAAGACCCTCAGAAAAACCCCTTTTTATGGGCTAATGAGCTGCCTGGTGTCGGCCAGCGGCTGCTTAGGTCAGGGACCCTCTGCTCCCAAGTGATCCTGGCTGCTCCCAAGCCATCCCAGCTGCCCCCAAATGATCCTGGCTGCTCCTGAGCAATCCCGGCTGCCCCCAAATGATCCCAGGTGCTCCCAAGGGATCCCGGCTGTTCCTGAGCAATCCCGGCTGGCCCCCAAGCCATCCCAGCTGGCCCCTGACTCACATTAGGGCCGGGTGGTCCCACACGGCCGGCGGCGCCGGGGAATCCGGTGGCTCCCTAGGGAAGGAGAGGAGAAAGGCAGCTCGGATGCTGCACCGCTCCCCCCAACTGCCCCCTCCCACAGCCCACCCCCCCCCCCCCCCCCCCCGGGGGGCCCCGGGCCCCCCGGGCCCCCTTGGGCCC